TAATTCCTTCAAAAGAAAAATACCCACATTTAGGAATGTCTTGCCCTTTGACAGTCGGTGGAAAAGTTCCCACAGGCTCTCAGTGGGCCAGGATTTCAACAGTTGTGTTCTAGCAAGAAAAGCCTATTCAAAGGGACAAGTGCTACATCTCTTAACACAGAGAAAGGCTCCAGCTGATCAGAAATTCAGGGTGCAGTAACATTTGAAGTTGAAAGGACACACATAATGCAATTCTTGGACCTGCAATCTATCTTAGATAGCCAGGTACTTCATTTTGTCCAGTGGAAAGTTCAGTCCCACTGTTCTATATCAATGCCCTGACTGTCTCTGCTTTAACCTGCAAACAACATAGATTCTGCCATCCAGCCTGCAACCATGCACATGCCTGCCACATCCTCTGTGGGCACACACACCTCAACCTACACCAGCTGCTTGTGAAGAACAACAAATAAGAATCTAAATCATTTAGCTGGTGTGCTTCTAAACACAGTTGATCCCACTGCACTGATCATTAAAACGACATAAGCACCTTTTATGTGAAGTGCCATCTCCATTGACTCAGTGTCACCAAGTGCCTTTTGTGTGGAAGATTTCCAAAGTTGGATGAAGACTTTGGGATTGCTCCTTTATGCAGTGAAATAGATGAGAGTTTAAGCAAACTAGAGAAGAAAACACCATGCTAATGCAGATTATTATTCTTAATTAAGAATTTCAGACAGTACCACAGCGTGTTAAAACAAACACATGTTTTCAGATGTGGTCTTCTATTGATCTAGATCTAGAGTGCCTTCTTCCAGTGCAGCGAGAGGAGCTCAGATTCAGAGCACATCCCTGAACAGGTTTCAGCTGTTAGAAGCATTATCAGTGCAAGGGAAGGACAAGATCCCCAGCAGGCACAGGAAGACTGGGAAAACTGCATTGGCACAATTCTAAGAGCAGCAAAGTCCATTCCCAAGGCAACTGGAGTAAGTTTATTAAGGCAAAGAGGAAAAAAACAAACCTCAGTTATTTTTACAATTATTTCATTCTCTTCCCTTATAAACTGCATAGATAACTGAAGGACTCATTGTAAATCTTATCCAGGTGTGATTTATAGCCTAACAAGATTTATTTCTGGTTCTATGGCTCCACTGCTTACACACACGACCAAATGACTAGAATTGGCAATCTCAGCACTGCAACCGCGTTTGTAAAACCAGAGGGTATCACATCTGTTTTGGAAAGCTTGAGGAGTGGCAAGACTTCTAACTGCCTATCAGCAGGCACTCGAAGGCACGGAATCACACACTTGCCACCATTCAGTAATTTCTCGAGGAAAGGAAGAGTGGGCAATCAGCTGTCAATAAATCAGCTCGGTGTTCGCGGTTAAAAACCTCAAACAGCAACACGCCGGCACGCGTACAGGCTTCAGAGCAACCCAACTTTCCCTCAACCAAACAGAAAGCCCAAACAAAACAGAAGCTTTATCTTTTAAGTTGTGTAATTACAACACAAAACCTAATTATGAAACAACTCAAGTACGACCTCTTTCTGGTACAGTAAGTTTAGAGAAATACTCCGAGTAAGCAAACCTACACCACTTTATCACCTAATTCAGCCTCTATTGAAAGAGCTGCAGTTGTACTTGAATTAGTCTTAAGGACCCTTTTCAAGCCAATGAGCCTCTAATTCTCTCCAGATGCAAAGAGAAATTTGGTTGAGGTTTCAGGCAGAATCTTTACAGCGCGGGCATTCTATCTATCTATATCTATCTATGTGTCTGTCTATCCTACCGTGCATAGACGATAACAAAACCAGTTATAAAATCAGCTCAACACCTCGCTCGCTAAAACTAAAGGAAGGTTTTCCTCGGAGCCCGTGCCGGCGCGGATTCCACATCCCACGCCGAGGCTGAAAAGCCAGAGCACACACACACAGACCCACACACGCGTGGCTCCGCTGCGCTCGGGTGGCACCGAGGGTGAAGAAACAATGAAACCGCACTCACCAGCCGGGCTCCTGCTGCCAGCGCGCTTCCAGATACAGCTGTGCGGAGCTGTCTCGGATAAAACTGAGCGCGGAGCTGTCTCAGATAAAGCTGTGTGCGGATCTGTCTCAGATAAAGCTGAGCGGAGCTGTCTCAGTGTGCGGAGCTGTCTCAGATAAAGCTGAGCGCGGAGCTGTCTCGGTGTGCGGAGCTCTCTCAGATAAAGCTGTGCGGAGCTGTCTCAGACGAAGCTCGCCCGGTGCCTCCCTATCCAGCGGAGCGCGGTGTGTGTATTCCCGAGCGGGGCTGGGCTGTCCCTCCCGGCGGAGCTGCGGGAGCGCCGGGAGCGTGTCCGAGGGCAGCGCGGAGCGGCGGCGGCAGCAGCGAAACATCAGAGCTTCCTGTTACATCACCGACCCCGCCTGCGGCCGCCTGGAGTTACTTTTCTCTCCCGAATGGCATGTCCCGGGGAAGCCGGGCTCCCGGGGCATCCCAGCCCCGGCGCTGCCATCTGCTCCCGGCCGCTGCCCGCACCTGGCCCCGGAGCGGCTTCGCTCGCCCGCCCGCCCGGGCTCCCGGCCGGCGCTCGCCAAACACTCACTGCCCTGCTGGTGAGGAGACGAGCACGGGACCTGTCCTTTCACGTATCGAGCCACTGAGATTCGTCCTCCTCCTCCAGGCAGACCCATAGAAACAGATTCGTTTGGACCTTTATTCAAAGGGCACTCGAGAGCTGCTTTCCTCCTCAGTGAGCCTGACCTGAGCCAGCACCTCTGCCAGCGGCTGCATGACACCCCATACCCTAAGGGCTGAAAAGCTCTGCACAGAAATACCTTTATTCCTCTGATGGAAAGCAGCTGCAAAGGTCGGATCCGAATTCATTTACAGTACCACTATTTTTTTCTTGGGTACAAAGCAATGCATTAAAGAAATAAGTCTTTGAAGTATCAGGAGTAGGAAAAAAAGCAACAGGAACATTGTTACTGCTATCTCTATGCTATCTTTTTCTAAGCACTGGTGATTTGAAAGCACAAGTATGAATGGTTTGAAAACTGCCATGAGAGAGGACAAAACAAAATGAGTAGCAGTCTTTCTACAAGAAAGAAAGACTTTCTTTCTTGAAAGAATATTCAGAGAATATTGTACCAGAAACTAAAAATGTTTTTATACAATCAATTCCAGTACTATAGACCAAATCTGTGCCCTCTAAACTAATAATGAGTTACTGTATGCACAGAAGAACACTATGCTGAAGAAATGGGGAGTTCACGGAGCATCAAACTCAAATTATATGAACACCTGTAACACCAGTACTCCTTAGGGAACACCACATGAGCCTCCCAAAAGCCACATTGTGACAAGGATCTATCAAAATTATACTACTAAATTTGCTCATAAAACAACATAAAATATTTTGTTTGCTTCTTGCTACCTGTCACTTATCCACTTTTGTTTTTTTTCCCAGCAGAATCATTTGTGGAACACACTGTGAACTGAATGAAAGAGTTAATCTGGGCATTGAAAGCATTTTCCTCAAGAAGGAAAACAGCAAGAAATACAAAGCTAAGGGGGGAAACCCCCATAAAACAAACAAAAAAAACTTCAAACAAAACCCAGTCCCAATCCAGGGTCAGGAAAAATTGAAAGAGGGAAAAGAGGGCCAGGAATACTTTAAATCCAAATGGCCCCTAGACAATAAAATTTTTGAAATCCCACTGCAGGGTTACCAAAAAAGCAGGCTTGGATACTCATTTGGCACATGTGCTTCTAGGATCTCACATCAACAGGAGAATGTTTGAGTTTTATAATCAGTGAAGAACTAAGGACTGGCACTCTAAACCTCTAGGCAATGTAAACACATATAAACTGGGGATTAGCTCTGATTCTGAACAGTGATGGAAATTAACTTCTCTAAATGAGTGGTGTCATCTCAGGTACAGGAATTTCATCAGGAGTGATCCTGGCAGCATTGCTTTAGACAAATTTGGTCTAGGCTGTAGATTGCAACAAGGTACATTACACACTCTAGTTCAGAGAATAATCCGTGTATCCCAGCCAGGCTCACAGCTCCGAGACAGGCACCTGAATTAGCTAGACACATATTACAGAGGCCCTGTTTGATTTAGCTGATCAAAGTCAGTGGAGTTTTGTGTGAGCGTTTTGGTGGATTTTTTTTTTTTTTCCACTTGGTTGCTTGCTCTGGGGGGTTTTGGGGTTTATTTTTAAAAAGTTTTACATTCTACTGATTTAGGTAACATTAAAACTTACTTACTTGTACTCTACTGAGACCTCTCAGCTGGTGCAGTTTGCACTTCTGAACGCGCTGCTTCCCCTGCAGCTCCCCATCCCCTGGCTGCGAGGAGCGTAAATCACACCCTACAGGCTGCCCTGCTTGCTGACAGCGAAGAAGGGAGCAGTTCAAAGGGACCTAAATATGCCAAGCTACCTGAACTGGGACCAAAGAAAGCTTAAAAGCGAGAAAAGAGAGTAAACCCAGGGAATTCCCCCTTTTCCATCAGAGCCAGCCCGCCCGGCGCTCGCCGCGCCGCCGGCGCCCTCTCGCGGCCACCCGGGGCATAAACACAGGCGCGGAAGTGGCGCACGAGGATTTACCCCCTTAATTAATTCAGGAATTAATTAATGCAGGAATTAATTGATTCAGGAATTAATTACCCTGCATGAACACCCCCCAACGACACGCGTACAACCCTGCTTTACCTGAACCTCGCTCTTTCTTTGAGGAAACACTGAAACAACCGGTAACCCTTAGGTCCCCGTCGCTACGTTTCAGAAGGTAGAAGCTAGAAAGATGAAGACTTGCTCAAAATGTAAATAAAAAACTATCAGTTTTGAAAGAATTAGTGGATTGGAGATGCAGGGAGAAATGCAAAAGTAAAACTGAAGCAGGAGGGAGAAAATAAAAAGGAGAAAAAGGAGGGCATAGCAGTAAAATCGTGAGAAAAAAATTGAACTAAATTAAATTATTTCTCAAATATATTTTGTTTTACCATGTGCATGGATTAAGGGCACATACCAAGTTATTGCAGGTCAGATGAGCTATAGAAACTCAAACCTCTGTGAAACTGCTTCAGCTTGTTGGCTGTTTTCATACAGCATGGGAGAATTTTCACAGCACTCTGCATTTCCTCTCCAAAGAAACTGGAGAAAATTCTGGAATGAAATGACTGGATGAATGGACTCTAGTCAAGTGGAACTGTAAAGTCACTCTAATACCTTAGCACAGCCTCATGTTCTGACTGCTTCAGCATTGTGGCACCTGATCCATACCTTTTCCTGTGTGGTGCCTCAACTCTGCCCCTGCTCATCCTTTAGTTGTCTTTGGGAAATGCGTAGATCTTTTTTTTCTTAGTCTTGCATTTCATAGCTCTGCAGCTATGGGAGGTACAGGAGCAAAGAGAAGCGAATGAAGCAGAAGGGCAGAAAAGAAACTTCTTGTTATGTTGAAGATCGTATCACACTGCAGTTTGGACTTTTTATGGGAAAAAATAGCTCTATGTACTGTAGAGCTAAACAAAACCAGAAACAGCTGGATGGCCGGTGTGGTGGCCAAACTGAGTGCACACACAGCTGAGAGCAGCCTGCACTCTCTGATCAAATCCTGATTATAATCAGGTTTTTACAGTCTGTGACACTGCAGCCTTGATTCTCGTTTCACTAAGCAACAAGCCTGACAGATGAATCACTGTGAAATGTTTTCTTAGTCAGTTGAAACAGAGCAACTCTTGAGATGCTAGTGGTACAAATTCCCTTCTGTCTCAACAATGACACAACAGAGACCTCACTGGATCCCTTAATTGCTGTTATTACAGAATGTACCACAGCAGCACAAGAAGTTTCCTCAGTACAGTGTGAGTGGGGTAGGAGAGGATGGGAGAGTACCTGTCAGTCCTGTCCTAGCTACAGCAGTCCTGGAGGAGCCTCACAGTCCTGGGAGCAACTGATCCCTCTCAGGGAGGAGACCCTGTAGGTTGGCAGTAGAGCTCAGCAAGAGGGAAGCTTATAAAGTGGAGAGCAGCCACACAGACAGGGTTCTGCTGGGACTGAAAGGATGATTTTTTCCCTACAGTTTTTTTTCCCCTGTGGGTTTTGTAGGTGTTGAGTCCCGGCAGCCAGGCACAAGTTGCTGGAACAAGAGGAAACCTGAAGGAGAGAGACTGTCATGAAATGACACAGGAATCACAAGACAATCTGCATACAAATGCATCTTTTCTTTCCTATCCTTCTATACCTATTGTCTCATATGAATACATTCTGTTTTAGAAAGTTCATCATTCCAGTTTGTAGTCTAATCAATCTCACAAAGCTTACAAATCCTTTTCCCTGTTCTTGGTGGGAATTTTCCTTGTCTTTTACCTGAAAGCCATAGATGTTTTAGTTTAATGCAGTCACTTCAGCTCTGCCTCCCTTTGAGGTACATCATGTAATCTAGAAATTATCTAAGTTGTAATACTGGCAGCCCATGGGAAATGGTTACAGCTAAGAGTGGAAGATCAGATATTTTACTGGCTTGACCATAAGATGCAGACGAGGGGAGGTGCAGACATTTGTGCCCTCACCTGCATCCCTTGGCCAGGCAGACACAATCAGGGTAACCATGGCATAAGGGCAAATCCTGACCCTCCCACCCCAAATGTGCCTAAATCCCCTGGCCCTGGGGAGGCCACATGACCTGCTGTGCTCAGGCAGGTGCCATGGGACAAATGGAGAGGTCTGGGAGCAGTTTAATCCATGGGTTCTCCACTTATCTGCAGGGAGGGATTCCAGCTGGTCTGAGTATTTCCCTTACTGCTCTGCTCCTGTGCAGGGCACCCACACCTACACACTCCACTCCTGGTGCAGGAAGGGCAGCAAAACCTGGAGAGAAAGGGCAGAGTGAGGAACCAGAACAGGAAGACAGCAAATTGAAACTGAAACCAGGGGACAAAATGTGCCAAATTAATTCTGTGGAGTTTATAGGTGCCCTGGCAGAACTGCACTTCATTTATGTGGTTATTGCAGTGGTAGTCTGTGGTGCTCAGACATTTTACATGACAAGGCTCTACAAAAATGCTCTCTGCTGTACACTCCTGTTCCTTGAGAATCTTTCAAATCACAATTAATGCATCCTAGATTCAAAGAGCCATGAAAGGACTTAAGCACCAGGAAACAGATTTGGATAAAATTTCAGTATAAAAATCTGATCTTACTTATCCCCTCCATTCTAGTATTTAGAATGCATAATTTTTTAACAATTTCTGCAGTAAAGCTTAGCCATGAGTCTAGATCAGTAACAAGGATAAGAATCAACGACCACAACACATACAATTTTAAATCTTTCCAAAAATTTACCACTCTGCTTTACATCTTTACAGCTCTAACACTCCCTTTATGGATTTTCGTGGGTTAATTCTGATTTCATATTCATTTTACAGTACTGTAATTATATGCACTTCAGTGGAGTTAAATAGTTAAATCTAGGCCTGCACAACCTAAAATAAATCTGATTAAAACAAATCCAGTGCCTATTTCCTTTTTATAGCAATACACCTATCTTTTAATCGATGATTGAAACAATCATGCTTGACTAGTGATTATTCTTTCACAAGTATTGTGCTTTCTTTAGTATAAAAATAGAATTCAAAAAGAATAAGGTAAGAAATCTGAATTTTCTCTGCATTTTAACCATTCACTCACACAGTTTATTGTCCTGCTGAAGCTCTGACAATTATATACAAGCAAACAGCAATTTAAAAGGCTTTAGCAAAGTAAGAGGTAATGTTCATTAACATGATTGAGGAATACATAAAAAAATATAAGCAGCTTAGTAATATATAATCAAAATAATCAGTAAATATATTTTAATGGTGTACACTGGGAGGTTTTCATTCACAGGTGAAGAGCAGTTTACATCACATTTCCATAAAAATCAAAGTTGCATTGCTTCAGGGATGATTTCCATGTCCAGTGCCTTTACTGGCTGTTTCTTTCTTTTTTTCTTGATTCGTATTAATCTTCTTTCACCTTTTCTGTTATTGAATCCTAAAGGTAAAATTAACAAAGTAATATTAGAAGACACCCAAGATTATCAGAAGTAAGAGACAAGGCTCGTTTCAATTAATCTTAAAAAAAAAAAAGAAAAAAACATTGTCTTACCTAAAATCTTCATATGCCTGACCAATGCCAAGTTGTCTTTTTGCTGTCCTTTTACACTGCACTTACTGTCCCTCCTTCTCTCTCTAGCTCTGTATCTCTCCTGATTTCCATTCTCACTTTCCTGAGACTTCCAGCTGTTACATTTGACCAGTCCAATCCTTACTACCAAAAGTGGCAAGAGAAGGTTTTGACCCGCACAATATTTACCTCTGAGCCATAGCCGGGGGCAGTAGCACTTCCCATACCTTTCTTGCAGATCCTCAAACACGACTTCCTGGAGATGAAATTATTCTCATTCCCACCACAACCGCTGTAGCTAAAGGGGCGACACCTTCCAGTCGAGAAGTTGTAGAAAAATCTCAATTCTTTGGCTCTGCAAAGCCCTCTGTCCATGGGGGTCATGCACAAGGAAGGGAGAGCAGGGGGTTCTGGAAGTACCAAGAAAAACAAGGTGAGACAACACTGCAGTGTTTCAATTTTATGGCAATATTATTTGAAATTTTTTGCTGTCAAATTGAATTCTGCTCCCCTGAAAATCCAAGATACTTGGCATAAGCATCTTTTATGGTTACAAAAAAAAAATAGCACAGTAAAATGCCATCCTGTCTTTGGATTGCCAGCAAAAGCTTACCTGAAAGCTATTCCTTTACTTGTGTTGTTAGTGGTAAAATTGCCATTTCTGCCATAGGAGAGAGCACACAAATGCATTTTGAGGAGTTTCAAGTGAAGCATTTGTAGAAAGTGACGTGAAATAAATAAACGTGGACAGCTTTAACAATTATGGTAACTATTTCTAATAATGAATGGAGCAAATCACTGCTAGACATTCTGGAATCAAGGAGAAGGTAAAAGTACCCAGCATTTCCAGTGTAAGATTCAATACCTCAGTGCTGAGTTTGTTGAATGACTACAGAAAACTTGACCTAAGTAACAGGGTCTGTCAGCAGCCATTGAGCAGTTATAAAACACTAGCTTGCTACTTGCAGAGTAAAAACAGCACTGAATGTGAAGAACAAGTGCACACATTAATGGAGATGCTGGTGTGTTAGTGCTGCTGGCAGGATTTTACCATTCCAAGGAGAGGCTGGTGGTTTGCTCCTTCAGGGTGGCTGCAAGTGAGAACTGAAACACTGGAGGATGAACCTGGGGTAGCCAAAGGACCTGGGCACTGGAACAAGTTCAAGAAGCAAATCCATGCCAGGATTCCCAAACCTGGAAGAATGCCATCATCTATCACCCAAGAGTGACTGATACACAAAATAGGAGCTGGTAAAATTGCTGCACAGGCTGCAAGGAGCTGAATGGGAGCCATTACATCACCAGTTAGGTGGGACCCAAAAGAGGACCATTTTTCCTCAGGAAGCAGCAGAACTGGGTGCATAAATGCAATAAATGAATGCATAAATGCACATGTGAAGTCAGTCAAATGGAGCTCTTGAAGATGCAAAGCCACACAGAAGGAGTTCAGTGGAAAAACAAAGTAAAAATTTGAGGAAATCATTCAGTTTAGAGCAAAGCTGAAGACATCCTGTGGTCACAAAAGTGGGAAGCAAATGAGCTGCTGAAAGCAAGAAGTTATGCATTAAAAACCTGGGCAATGCAGGAGGCTGACAAAATATCCAAAAAGCACATGCTACATTTTAGGTGTCTTACATATGGTACAGCTGCTAAAAAAAGGTTCATTTGAAATGTATAATTGCTGAACAGTTGTGGTGAAAAAGTATGAAAAATTGCTGGGAAAGAAATAGAATGGTATGTTAGAAACATTATACTATTAAAAAAAATTCTGAAATTTAAAACCCAAGTAATGGGTTACTTTTTTGAGATAGACTAAGTTAGTTTCAAGTTATAAAATGAGAACCTCAACCTCTCTTCATAATTGCAAGACCAAATTTCACTCTGGGTCCAGAGTAGAAGTCCACAATGTGAAAAAAAATCTATATTAAACCTACATTTTTTTATAATGAAGATGGTAGTTAAATAAACTAAGGCAATGCTTTTGGTACTGCTCTGAGAACTGTTGAGCCTGGAACTAATTTCATCTCTCTCTAGCTGGAGAGGAAGTTAGTTCCCAAAGCATATGTTCAGCATAGCTTGCCTATTTAAACCTGCTAATTTCTGAGCCTACAAAGAACAGAGCAGAAAGGCTTGCCAGTGAGCAAAGGGCCAAACAGCACAGGCTTGTTAATTATAACAGAATTCAAGTACACACCTTCTAATGTAAATTACTTATCTGCCATGTAGGATTCTCCAGGGAGTCCACAGTCCCCTCAGGAAGGAGTTCCCAATGACTGCAAGATTTGGGGGAACCATGGAGCCAGTGATGAGGTCAACAAGGACTGCCTGTGCATGTACAGTGCACCAGAGAGCCAGGTGCTATTCAGAATCCCTCCTGTATTCTTCCCAAAAATTATGTTATTCCTTGCCTATATCATTTTCAGATAAATGCCCCAAATACCAAACACTGTTCCTTGTTTATCTTCAAAATACCTGCATGTTCTTCACTCACAGAAGCAACCAGCCTGTGAAGAAAACCTCTTAATTTTGCCACCTGGAGCCATTTTTTCCAACAAAACAGTATTTTAAAATAAAACTAAATAACTTATCATAATTTCCTCTATGCTGAAGATCATAAAAATTATGAATTTTTTTGAATGTATTGATTACTAAAAGAAATTACTTCAGGTAAGCAGAAAACATTCTCTGTGTCATGCCCAGCGTGTCTATTGGCAGGACAATGTGAAAGCCTGTGAGGCAGTGTGTAAACCATGTCACCAGGACATTACAGCAGGTGAGTGGTCTCTCTTCAGCTCCAGTTCCTAATGCTGGATTTATGGATGTGATGGAACAGAAAATGGAGCTGTTATATCTATTATTGAGTTTCTCTCCAAAATGTTTCTATTTTAAAACCCCATTTTTCTGAGAGTTGTTGAAAAGTTTTCTCTCCTGCTTTTTTTATGAAGAAGAAAAGAAAATGAAAGAAGCAAAAGTCCCACAAGCCACAAAACCACATTAGAAAGTAGGGGTACACACTGTATGGTTTAAGATTCAGTTTCTACCATACAGCCCTTTATTGAATCCCATCCCTCTGAGGTATAAACAGATGACATGATCATAATCTCTGAAAAATCAGAGATTAATCATAAACTCAGAATCTCTGGAAAATGCACATCCAGATACAGACTCACATTTATCAGAAAGAACCCCAACTCTGCATTGCAACAATAATCCTTATCCCTCAGGCTTTGCAGGGCTTGTGTGACAACAGACTGCTAATTATTCACACTGGAAAACAAGTTTGAAATTATCTTGGGAGGAAAGGGAATGCAGTGAGCACTATTTCTCCCCAGACACAAGTGTGTGACATTCATGAAGCTTCAGATTTATTGCCAGATTTTCAATACCTGCAGACTTCAGCTCCTCATTTCTGGCTACAGAAAAGCGAAAATAAAAGAATCTTCAAGTGGACAGGCTATTACAAAAATAATGAGTCATCTGCACTTGACAGTAATCCACAGGTATAAATTGGTGCAGATCCATTAAAGCAAATAGAACTGTGCCAATTTATATCAGCAAAAGATGACCCTGACTCTGTACTCACAGGACCTGCATCCTTGTGCTATTCCAAATTCGCTGAGCTGAAAATTGACTTCTGATCCTGTCTCCCACTCAAATCTCCCAAATCAAATGTAGGTATAGTGCTTGCAATTTTCTACCATAGATCACGATTCTTAGCCTCACTCTCTCTTAGTTTGCAGAGAGAAAAAGTTATTATAGATGTTTCAGCAGAGTGAGGCCAGTCTCTTCAATCTCTGCAGAAAGTTCTTTGCTAAGAGTGCTAGAAACTTCATGTCTGTATCCATGGTTTGCTTTATTTGGCCATAGAACAGTTTAATCTTCTGAAGATCAACAACTATATTCTAAGTCTAAAAGCCTGATATTATTACAGAGTTACACATACCAAAAAAACTTTTTTTTCTTAAAATCAAGATGAAATAGCATGTCAGTTGTAAGGTGAGGTATTTTATAAGAGACAACTCCTTGTATTTTTTTTTTAGTGTAAATTAACTAAATTACATTTCATTTTTTAAAAGGTCTTTGAAAAAGACATATAGCCAGGCCAATATAGATAGCAAATAGATATTACAATGGCAGATTAATTTGCCTGTGCTTGAGGAGATGGACATCAGCCACTCCATCCCAAACAGTTCACCCTGATCCTCACCTCATATGTGAAGTCAAATTCCTGTCCCTCACAGAAAGCTACAATTACCCTGCACGTTTGTGTGACCGGTCTCTGCCTTGGAGCTTCACTTTACAGCTGCACCTCCAGAAAGAGCAGCAATGGAGACAATGTTCTCCATGCCACTGCGGAGAAATCAGCTGTCAGCTTTGGCCTTCCCCTCTAGTGGGATTGCCAAAATCACCTGATTTTAGCCCATTCCAGCAGCCTGAAGGGTACAAGCTGATAAACAGAGCAGGAACAGGAGGCTGCATGAGGCAGACAAGGGCAAGACAAAGGTCACACAATTAGGAAGAATCTGTTGGGTCTTCAGACTTGGCACTGAAATTCTCTGGTCCTTCCATGGTGTGCTTCTCACCCAACCCATCTGCTACACTGACTCTTTGTTCCATCAATCTTTAGTTCTCTTTCTCTTACCCTCAAAGTCTGCTGCGCAGGAAAATTCCCTGTTGCTGACACAATCAAAACCCCTTCAATTTCCTCTGAGAAAACATAGTGAAGCATGCTCCTTTCCTGGTATAGGTTAGCTGTTTGGAGGATTATTCATACTATGACTAAAAACCTTCAGGGAATGTGCTTGCCCCTTAATGCCCCTAGACTTATTACCAGACCTGATGTAATTCACATCGTTTTCAGTAAAATAGGCTGCCAAAAGCTTTACTGTTTTATATGCATTCATTTAAATTACAGAGTGCATTGATGCTTTGCATGTGGTAGACAACACAACTGAACAGAAACTTACATCAAATCAGCAGTGCTTGAAGATTACAGTGCAGGCAAAAAACAGGGTACAACACACACTCATGCTTTATTGGGCACTCCATTCTAAGCAAAGAGCACAGGAATGCCACCTACACACCTGTTATCTACAGAACATATGAAATGCAAAAACCTTAGCGAGTCATCACTCAGTCCTCAGAAGTGCAAGCAAGTGCAAAAGCAAAAAAACCAACATAAATACTTGGTGAGAATGCTCAGGCTCTTTCCAACTGTTTGTTGCTTCCTCTTGCACAACTGTGGATCATAAAAATGACATACTTCAAATTCAATCACCCTGAACAGTGTGAGCAAGCAGCAGCCACCTACAGAGGACAGTGTCCAGCTGCTGATACTGTCAAAGCTTATCCCTCCTCAGTAAAGGTCCAGAGTCCCATCTGCATTATAGTACATAGTGCAAAAATACCTTGGAGAGACATTTTAAATTAATGAAATTAAAATTAATTACATTAATGAAAGCATTTAAAATTAATTCATACCCACTGTGATTATACTCAACCCAAAAATGAGTTTAATATGGTCACAGTGAATATACAAACATTTTGCTATTAAATATATTACACTATGCTATGTTCTAAAATCCAAATGTTGTTCTTTTTTAATGGATGAAGGGAATTGAAATCAATTCCCTATTATATCCTCACAAAAATATTAATTTAGACTGATAGAATTATGCAGCACTGCTTTTGCTCTTTGTATTAATCAGGCCTTTGGGAAGTGCACACTTTTTAAAGAGAGTGGTCAGTCTTCCACTTGCTGATATTTATGAAAGATCCATAAGTTGTAACACATTCTTTTGCTTCGGCTTTCTCTGCTTATCAAATCCTTTGGCAAAGATCAAACCCATTCTTTAGTCTCAGGTATGTCAGAAAATGGGTTGAAATGGAAATGCAATCCATATAAAAGACTGAGAGATAAGAACTGCAAAAGCTAATTCTTACCAAAAAAGATGGGGAACTGGTTGGGCTCCTCCTCCTTTGGGGAACTACTGTTCAGGGTGTTGGACTTCTCGTTTGGAGCAGCTGGCAGTGCATTACCTAAAAGAAAAAAATAGAGACAGTGGGTGTGAAAGATTCAAGGGTGGGATATGTAGACACATCCAAGCTCTGTAAATCAGCTGTGATTGGTACCTGCTGGCCCTGCTAAACCTCACTGCTGATGCCAGTTGCCAAGCAACATCTCTAAGGCCCAAAGGCTCAGGAAAGTCAGGCTGCTGAAACAACTCTGCAATGAGTTCCTTTTTCTTCCTTAATTTTACTGACGTAAAATTTAGATTGTACACAGCTTGATAAGGTTATTTTTATATTGCCAGCAGACATTCCAAGCTTTGCAATTGTAAGCCTTTTGCAAAATAAGTATTGCTGGTAAGAAAGTGGCTCTGAAGCTACTTTTAATGTCAAAGACTTCCCTGTGCTCAGGTATTTCCAGTGACATACAAATAAATGGGGAAAAACCAGTGCACAAACCAAGGAGCAACAAAGGGTTGATTATAAACAGCAGAAGCAAATTCTTACCAAAAATCCCAGGAGTCTGGCTGGGTGCTTCTGCTGGGGAACTGCTGTTCACAGTGCTGGGATGCTCTTCTGCTGGGGAACTGCTGTTCACAGTGCTGGGATGCTCTTCTGCTGGGGAACTGCTGTTCACAGTGCTGGGATGCTCTTCAGCTGTAACAGCTGGCAATAAATTTGTTAAATTTAAAAAAAATAGTGAAAACTGCTAAGAAAAAACAAACAAAAATTGGTATCGATTCAATATATCAAAAAATAAAAAGCTTTAACCTATTTAGACCACAGCAACCCTCTCTTCTTGGGTGTTCATGCAAATTTACATGAAGGTGTTATTTTAGACTAAAGTCATGAAAAAGATTATTCTGCACCTTTTAGTCAGAAGGTACAAGTGGAATCACAGCCCAGGAAGAAATGCTTCAGCAAAAGGAGGGAAACTACACATGGCTCTAAATTTATAATTAAAAAAAATCTTTAGAAAGAAGCAGAGTGGGTCTTTTCTACTCTAAGTGTGAATAAGCTCGAGTTCCCCTTACCAAAATGACAGCTTATGAAATAGTGCTGGAAAAAGGCTCACTAGACACAAGCAAGATAAAAAGGTCTGGAGGCTCTTGGTGGGAAAATGTATTCACATTATGAATAAAATGAGGCACTTTGAACGTCTCTGTATGTCCTGATGTAGAACAACTTGTTGGAATGAGCCCGACAAGGAAGAAAATGACTGGTCTGTGGTCAGTCTGAGTGGCTTTGGTAGCCTAAGCTGCACAGCCAAGTCATTCCCAAGGGACACACAGGTGTTCCAGGAATCTTGGTTGCAAGCTAGCAATACACAGTGAGTTAAAAATCCCTACATGGGCACCTCTTGTCATTACAAGACTTGGTTTGAAAGGAGTATATGCAGACCTATGGGTTAAAAACATACAGATGTGTTTTATGGTATTATAAAGCCAAATAAACGGCAGATTTTAGGTTAGCTGCCATGAGAAAAGTAAAAATGTAGGAGTCATGTAACATTCCTTAAATAGTACCTACCAACTTTTTACTCCATGCTTTAAATTTTGGTACTTTCATTTAAAAATACGTATAATTACTGTAAATTCCATGTATAAATTACTGCCACCTCAGGGCACCCTAAATTGCCTTTTTTCCATGCAAAATACCTTCAAAACACACCGGTTTTTATACAAGTGTAAAACGAAGAGCGATTAAAACCCTCAACTCACAGTTGTCTTGGCAGGTATTCTGGCACTCCTCCAAACTCCTGAAGTTGTTCTGGTTTCCTAGGCACCCACCATACTTGAATGCCTCGCACAATTTTGTCTCTTTGTTGTAGAAGTACCTGGTAAAATACCCTCGGCAGACCCCGGGCTCTTGGGCGTGGAAGCAGAAGTCAGGCTGTCCTAGAAACAATGCTAAATGATGAACAGGGTGGGGGAAGAAAGAAACTGAAATGCATCCCAAGACAACAGCAGATCTGGAGGAAGTTTGCTAAATAAACCTGTGACTTTGGGCTAAAGGCCAACTGTAAAATAACTACTGCTTTTTTGTGCTGTTTTTCTTCTAGATTTAATTATAATCATATTTAATTGAATAATTATATGAATAAACTGTTAAATACACTAAATATTATAATAATTAGTAAATAAAATTATACATATAATTATTAAATATTAGATACATTGTATCATAATATATTATTTAATTATAGTAAATATTTAATTTATTTTATTCTTTATTTAATTATTTATATTTACACTGGAACATTATAGGGGTATTTATTGCTCTGTTAAGTAGCCACTAAACTACATCTTGAAAAATGTCAGCTAATGAGTCCTTAAAAATTCCAAAACATAGAGGCTCTAAGTTGAAAATTAGTTTTTATTCTGATTTTAAAGAAGACCTGAACATCAACTGGATCACTTGCACCTAAGTACACATCCTTGTTATTTATGTTTCCCTCAATGTTAAGACGAAGCAATTCTCAAATAGAAGAAAAAAGGAAGGAGTTTTAAAATAGAACAGAAAAAATATCTAGCAGTGCAGTTTGTCTAGGGCAGTTCATCCTTGTAAAAGGATACTGGAAACAGGGAACAGAGCAGCTATCCTACATAATTTCAGTCCTACCTCTGAGTTTGCAATCAGTAACTACAATATCAACCAAGGACAAGTTAACAAATAAATATTGCATAATTTGACTGAATATCACAGCATGATATCACATCCTTTGGCAGGGAAGAAAAAAACAGCCATATGACAATCCCCAGAAGTCAACTCCTCACCATATTCAGTTTTTTTTAAAATAGCACGCTTAAAATCATGGTAACAATACAGAAATATATGTGGAGGAATTCTCAGATTCTTGCTAACAGATATTTAGAATTATGATTCTTGTCTGAGCTGACTTGCTGAGAAAAGTCTACTTAACCATCATATAAGAAAATCCTAGCAGGTGTAAAGTATAAAGGCCTTCCTTAGCTGTGAAAATTCACAAAATATTGAGACTAAAATGGTGTGCAGCCAGCTGTCATTAACATATATACATATATATATATATGTAAAACAATTACTTTGAAATTCCTAACATTTTAGAAGTAGCTTATCAACTTGCAAAGAAGTTAATCCTGTAACACCTATTTTAGGTAGGTACATATTCAAATTCATTGCTAGAACAAGATGATTATTAAAGTCTATTGATGCACATGTTGAATTTATACAAAATATTATAATAGCTCATAATGAGTGTTTTTCTAAGAATTAATTGGCAATATAGTGCATTTCAATTTTTATAATACTTAATGAACAGAAAAAAATAATTTTCAGAGATCACATGTAAAATTAAATCACTAAAATATTCTTGAATAAAGCAACCAAATCAACTGTTTATAGCATTCCTGAATGGCTTAATTTTGATTCTTCATTACAAATTTCATTCTCTGACAGTGAGTGTAATCCACAGCCAGGTGCTTCACCTCTCTCACTATGCAAAGGGAGCACCTGTTGATGTGCACAAATTCAGAAAGCTAAGCCCACACAGAGAAATAAATTTGAGAAATATGTGGGAAATTTGAGAAATATGTGAGAAACACACGGCCTGTGCTGTGCTTTCAGCTGGAAACAGAGGTGAGGCAGGTGCCCAGACAGGGAGAGGCAGGGCTCCACCAGGTGTACCTGTTCCATCTCCTAGGAGCTCACAGACAACAGGAGCCACAGAAAAAATTCTCACCTCAAACATTGCACAATACCATGAAATAACACAAGGGGATTATTAGATAGATATTAACTGAAAAAGGAAGGCAGGTAAACATAAGGGTGTGCAAAGTAGGCTGCGGGATTATGACAGAGTCTTAAAAACAGATGTCTTTAATTTAGAATAGTCTTATATTAAAATGATTCTTGTAGGTTCTTGCAAATGAAATTAAGTCCAAATTAGCTGAGTTCATGGCTAACTTTTATAGCTACTTTTGAAGAGAGAGTTCATGAAGGCAATATAATCCTAACCACACAATCCAGTACTGCAATGCTAAATGCCACATCTTTCTCTAAAGGCTCAATATTCAAAACTACATTAGTGGAAGCAACAGTGCATGTGCAATAATGCTGATGACAGCCATGGGCTGAATTTTACAGGATGTGTTCTGGTTTGTCATTAAAAGCAGGGAATTAGGGTCAGCCCTTAAAGGCAGTAGTGCCAAACTCTGCAGCATGTGTGGAAAATCAACCTTAGTAGCTTCCACATATAATCACAATTTTAAAAAATGCATTAAGAAGATAAAATACAGTAGAAAACAGGAAAAGAAAACCATCATCTCATATGAAAATATTCCAAATACCATTCTGCAAAGATAGGTGACTTGATTATAATCTATTTCAAAATGTATGTGCAAATGTTTGCATTTCTGCAAGTTGCTAGCACACTCATTCAGGAAGTGCTGAGTGGAAGGAGGGATGAAGGAGAGGAAGCAGAAAAAGAGGAGCTGACTTGTGACAAAGTGTACTCAAGTCTGTGTTTTTGGAGCCCTGGCTGCCCACAGTGGGCCCCATCCAGGTGAGTCTCCAATGTGCAAAGGGGAAGGGTAGGGTAAGTCTTCACAAGCTCTACTCGGTGTTAAAATGAAATATTCTCATTAGGAACATCAGTTTTCTCAACAGACCAACAGTGTTCCAGTAAGGGACTCCCAATACTTTAGCACTGGCTATTTTGGAAGTCTGGGATATCAGGAATTTAAAGTTCTGTTAAAAGTCTGTCCCTCCAGGAATGGGAAACTTGCTCCCCTGTTTGATTTGCAATTAGGACATCTGCCCTAACCTCTGGTAGCTCCTCCACAGACAATGCTTAAAGAGTTCTGTTTCAGACCAATTTTTTCCCACTTTTCTAAAAGTAAAGAGGCATGAGTACAAAGCATTTAGCTTGTTCTCAAAATACATTATAATAGCTCCCCGTCGTGGCTAATTATACCATGCTTGAATCTCTGCTAAATTTCTCTTTTTACAGAAAAAAGAGAAATTATGTATTTATTTTGTGAAGAAGAGATTGCAGCTACCATCTTCAGTGACCACAACTGTCCTCAAATTCTTTGATGAAGACAGAAGAAGATTCAGCCTAAGAACTCATTTTAAACTGACATTGCTTTTTTGGTTAGAAGATAAATTACGTATTGTTCTGAGCTAACAAAAGAAGAAAATACATTCCTTATTGTGTAGAGAATCTTAAATTATGATGTAAATATCATTACCTTTCTTATTTTTTGCTAATGCCATCTTCTGAGGAAATTCTGCAAGATAAATAAAAATAAAAGTATTTAGCAAAAGCATACATTTTAAGTCTCACCTGTGATACCAGTGTGTTTTGCAGTAACAGTGAGCAATGTTTTTCTCTTTATTCAGGAAGTAGCACAAAAGCTCATTGTAGTGAACTGAAGTATTATTTCCCTTGTATAGGAGGACCTGCTGTATTGGAAACTTGACAATATAGCAAGTACTGAAATCAAATTATGCCAATTTAGAATTGAAAAGGGAAATTACCCCCTTACTACTGGATCCAGGATCCTGCATCATGCAATCTCACTCCTCAAAAGAGGAGTAATTAATTAGCAGACTAACAACCCAACTGCTGTAGCTACTAATAATGCTCATAGCTGTGGAGCTGGCTGAGGGAGACAGCAGGACTTCCCTCATCCCACCCAATTCCCTCTGCTCTGCCATCTAGGAGTGAAGCTTTCCTCCTCCAGTTAATGATATTAATTAACTGCAACTGGCCAAGAGTCCCCAGGTATCCCAGGGGGCTGGAGATGAAAACTTTGTCTGCATGGTTCTCTCCGTGCACGATCTGCAGCAAAGTTGTTATTGTCATTTTTAATGCAGGAGCCTGGGTTTTATCGTATCAGCTCAAGAAACTGGGTATCTTAATTCAACCCCAAATTCCTTTTTAGAGATTGAAAACGAACCTTCTCCTTGTAGGAGACTGTCTAATCATAAAACTGCAAAGGAGTCCAAGGGCAGAGCAGACTGTACAATGTCTGAGAAAGGCCGACAATATTTTGACAGCTGAGAGAAAGGTGGCCAGCAGCTTCTGGACTCTGCCTTAGTCACCTTATTTGCATTGCTTCATAATTCTTGTTTTGTACTTTACTGCCCTTTTGTATCATAATTCTATCCTAGTTTTCTCTGGAAACGTGCTGATATTATATTTTCAAAGCAGATCTATTGGGTAGAAATTCTGTCATGACACATTTTTCCTTCCACCTCTGGGACAATGCAGCTGTTACCCTTTAAAAAATATTAAAGGCATGGCACGCACTTCAGAGTGATGTAGCATTTCTTTGAACAGGTTTCCAGTATTTCCTATTAGTAGGAGGCTTGGCCCTCAGCATTTAAACCCGTGACCTAAACGCGGACACGCACGTCAGGCCATTCCACTAATCTCACTCAGCTGTCCCCTTCGGGGCAAAATCAGCAATCATACTTTGGCATGTGATCTCCACTCTTCTGGCAGAGAAAAGGAAAATTTCATTGTGACTTGATACAGGCCTAGAATATCTTAATCTTAGTACCATGTCAACACTGTTTTTGCTTCTGGTTTCAGTCAAAAATCCAAATCCACTTCTGAGTTGGTTTTTTTTGTAAACAAAGTGTATTCTTTAGTAGATTCACTCTAAATAATAGACATTAGAATTGCCATTGTGACCAGAACCATTTATCAGAGCAGGTATTTTCCCATAATAGCAAGCTTAAGTAGCGTAAAATTTATATTCATGGCCTTGAAAATTAAGGTCTTAGTGCAAGTGATGACATTTGGGACTATATTCATATCCAGCAAATAATAGAGCCTATAGGCAAATTCCCCTCAGAAAGTACTTTTTCATTCCCTCAAGTTGTGAGTACTGGGCACAAGAAACAAAAAATACAGCTGATTTCTAGGAAGTTTGATTCAGAAGTACTCATCTTGAATCTGAGCATTGTCTTGGAGAGCCTTAGAGTGGCCAGAACACAGCTGGGCTCTCTCAACTCTGTTGTATTGACATCAATCAGTTCTGCCTGGTAGCTTATTGATTCCAAACTGTTAAAAAGTTATCCTGATCTGCTAAGTCCCTCATGCTGGCTCATTTATTCGTGTATTTGTGCTGAATATTGAAAATCAAAAACTTTGATTGCATTAATTCTTTTGAATTTCTACATACTTTAGGTAGCTGCTCTTGAGGTTATTTTTATCAATACTGGTCTTCACATTCTTCAAAGTGATAGTTTAGTATTTCAGATTTTTCTTTATTTCTAAGCACTTTTGTGCCACTCATACCCTCTCTTTAGACTCATTTCTACAGTCACTAAATAGTGATCTCCTACAGAAATAAGTACTGGAAATTTAAGTAAGATAAATACAATTATATACTACAATACTGCACAGACCGAGTTAGAGTTAACAACAATTCACAGAATTATACAGGGTTTTGCTGCATTATGTTAGCAAAAGGGATTAATTTAAGGGTTTGCTTTGCTTTATGCCTGATGGTCTGCAGCACACTGTAGGTAACACCAAATCATTTTATCTGCTCTTATCCATTCAGAGAATACAGAGATCGCGAGCCTTTGTTTCTCCTCTACCTCCAAGCAGATCCAGCTCTTGGAGAGTCTTGTATCACTGTTACTCACAGAAAAGTGTTCATGGGCTGAGTACCAAGATGGAGACACTAAGCCAGTTCTCATTTTAAAAACTTTCAGTTTTATACTATAGAGTTATGCCAAATATATGCCAGTACAGGATTTGGTCTAGAAGATCTGTTCCAGATGCAACATGTGTGTCAGAATCAAAGTAACACTGGGTCCCTTCCAACTCAGCTTATTCTCCGAAAACAGCAGCATCAGATGGAAGAAATAATGTGATAAATCTTCACTCATGACACCTGATTATGACTTTTGGACACTTAATTCCAAATTCTGCATCTATCAGCCCATCCTTTTCCTTTTTATTCCTCTGTCCTAGCCTTTAAACTGAAATCGAGGTCATCAGCCCAACCTTTTCCTTTTTATTCCTCTGTCCTAGCCTTTAAGCTGAAATTGAGGACAAACACTTGAAATTTCCTGTGACAGGAAGTGCCAAGTTTTGGATGAGATTCTGACAGGTGCAAATAACCCCACTGCAAGCATGGTAAAGATTCTGTGGGTCCTGCTGAAACCCCAAACCAAATACTAGCTGGAAACCACCAAGAGCCAGCCTGGTGTCAAAGAGCAGCTAATTCACATCCAAGACTCCAGGTCTTTCTGAAACTGAGTGCTATTCAAGGAAACAATAATTTTCAATTTTTCATCTTGAAAAACTTTACTTTTTAAACTTGGTGGAGTCATAACTAGAAACAGATTCATGATCTGTAATGAATTCCTTCTTTCTTTGATTTTCTGCCCAGAAATGAGATCTGCTCCCATACAATAGTCTGTAAGGAAGATTTTAAAGCCTATAACTTGAATTCTATCTTACTTTGGTATTTTTTTCAAACTCAGGTATGATGAATCAAAGGCACAAATAGTATATTTTGGAGAAGCTTTTATCCTTGCCAATTGCTAAAATACCAACTACAGGTAAGTGAGCACCAAAATAGTAATCTGCACTTCTAGAAGTATCTGAAACTTGAACATAAATAGAAATTCATTAGGTTCTTTCCCTTTCCAGCCACTTCAGGAAGATTCTGCTTAAGATCCATTTCAGATCTTAGGACAGAGGTTCCTGAAATTTGTGTGTGCTTGAATGTAGGGCAAAATGTTTTTCTTCATGTCATCCTTTTTTCTTTTTTTTTTTTTTTTGACTTGAAATGCTGGATTATGTTATTTAGTAACTAAAGAATTGTAATTTCCACTTACCTCTTGGTGGGATGCCATTTTAAGAATTAATATTATTTTACTATAATTACCACTGTGTTTACCCATGTATTGCACCTGAAAACAGAGCAAGGCTGTGACTGATCCTTCCCACTTCTTCCCTGGAACACCTCTGGTCTCTGAGGCTTATTAGTAGGATCTATCCAGAAACCATCAAAAGCTAAGTTTCCAATTAATCCTTAGAGTAAAATGTACTGGAAAATTTTCATCCCCTTAAAAAATGGAGTAAGATTTTTGACTGTCACCTGTTCTTAGTGAAACTCTGTAGTGTTTTGTTTTTTTGGTTTTTTTTTTCCATTCTGCTAGAGAGAGCTTTATAAGCATACAGTTGTTTAAAAGCAAAACTTAACTGAACAGAAATTATGGTGGCACCAGCAGATCAGAAAAATAGATCTGAAAGGTAAACAATATCTTAAGTTAATACGTGGTGAGTAAATAAAATGTGTGAAGTCTCCTCTTGGGAAAGACCAAAGGCATCGAGGCCAGGGATGCTTTCAAGGTATATGGAAATGGCTCACTAACATTTGTAGATTGATAAAATTAGAGGCATTAAAACTAACAAACATTCTTGAAATATTACTTTGGGTAATGTGCAACCAGCTCCAGCCATTATTGTAACACTGCAGTGGGAGACAGATACTTACTTTGAGATTTCTAAATAAATTTAGCAAGAAGATGCAGAGTAATTTTGATCAGGAAATACAGATGTGTTAAAAAGCAGACAATACAACAGATTTAAAGCCTGATCTAACCACTATGTAGACACAAATTCTGGAAGGGATGGAAAAAATAGGTAAGAAACATTTATATTTGTTGCCAGACAAAACCTGAAGCTATAAATTACTTTGTCACATATGGCAATCAGCTTTGGTCAGAAAACCCAAATAGGAGCTTCTGAAATCAATTTTCTAATCCAAAATTTCTCAGAGGTATTTTTTGTAACCCATAAGAACTTGCTGTGCTTGCAAGTGGCCTATGCTAATCCTAGAAGATACAAGTATTCTAATTTTCATCCAGTTTTGTGAGGAATGTGTACAATGCTGAAAACCATAATTACAAGGATGAATTTTAATAGCAAAACCAACATTCACAAAGCCCTTGGTGCACATTGTGCTGTGTATCATATGTTAGATCTCATTTTCTTTTTTTCCAATGATTAACCAAGGAGGATTCAATGAAACAAAGTTTAAAATTGGCTAGCATTTTTAATGAGAATTATCTACTACTGTAGTAGTAATTATGCTGAAACAGAGAAGATGGCCAAAATTTTGGACAATTCTACCAGCTTCTCAAGTAAAGGACAAACCTGGGTTAGACATTCCAAAAGCAATAAAGAACCTGTTTGCTACCCACTAGCTTAGCCCAGCCTCAGAATCAATTTCTCTTAAGAACTCATCCAAAACAGGGCTTTAGCTAGAAAATAAGATTGCTTGCCTTGGTGTTTCTATTCCAGAGGTACACTACAAAACCTACCTGTCTTTCCACACCATGTAAAATAATTCAGATGACTACAACCTACTTGGGAACATAATTAGAGGAATCGTATTTCTGTCATAATAGGAATTGAAGAGAGCTTCTACTTCCCAATTTGAAGTGGTTTGTGAATGAGAAATAACAGCTACAAATGAAGGCTTGGTAGGAGGGTGAGAGAATGGGTACTGGCCTTTTGGCACACACTTCTCCTGGCATTCCTCCAGCGTCAGGAAGTTGTTCTCATTGCCATGGCATCCACCATACTCAAACACCTCGCACTTGCGGCTCTTGATGCTGAAGAAATATCGGATGTGGATGGCTTTGCACGGGCCTTCGTCTGCTTTCATGGCACAGAAGGAGTGCACCAGCTTCAGTGGTGGCAAACCGGCACCTGGAGCACCGAGGAGAAGCAGAAGAGCTGAATTAGTTTGCTGCACACTGCAGGGTGTAACTCCCAGATGGTAAGATGAATGTCTTACAATGTCTTGTGTTCTTCTAGAGAGGCACTGCAGAGCTCCCAGCACACTGAACAGATGTAAAAAGAAAAACATCATCTGCATTGGAACACAGATTCCATTCGATCAATTGAAATGTGTGGCTTCAATTTTCCACCAAAACAGCTCACAGTATAAACTTCAACTCCTCATCACAAACCTCTAAACAGTTATGGAGCGTGGCCGAGTCACAGGAGCTGGGGTGCAACGCTGAATAACAAAAACACACAAAGACCACCAGGGCAGAAGGGTTTCCTTGGGCTCTCTTCCGTGCGCTGCTCCCAGAGAACTTGGCTCGTAAAGGAGCTGCCAGGGAACAGTGTGGGATGGCCAGAGGCCTGCAGAGGGCATCCCTCTCCTGTCAGATGGCACTTCACTGGGACACAAACCCTGCTGGCACCACTGACAGGCACCAGACTCCTTTTCCTTTCATCTCACCGTTCTTGCATTACAGCTTTCAACAGCAAACAGCTAGAAAGTCAAGGCAAAAGAAGACTGAACGCTTTCAAATTGTGTCATTTCTGTCTTTAAATATATATTAGGTCAGGGAGTGTTCCATATAAATTTTCATAGGCATTGTGAAGAACACTACCAAAGTTTCACCCTGCCAATATCTATAAAGAAATTCTGACCAACAATTCAGTTCCTGATACTGTTCCCTTACAAATATATCAAATATATGGTTTACTTTTTTTTTCTCTTTTAGTTTTCCAAGGCAGTATTTTACCCTAGAGGGCTCTGAAAGCTCTGTAGAGCTTGTGGGCATGCCATAGGAGCCAGAAGAACAGCTCTAAAGTTTTTCATTCATTCATCCTACAGCTAATTAGAACATTGATGTCTCAGAACTTACATGCAAACATGCAAAACATCTGTGCTCTTTGCAGTGGCCAAGGAAGGAGACAAAAGAAAAAAGAGAAGAATTTACATGATCACATAATCATTACAGACTCCTACTCTTACTAGTTTAAATTTCCAGTTTTAATTAAAAGAATCCATGAAAATCAGTCTTTATGACATGGTTAAAAGGGACCTTGTGTACTTACTACCCACCTGCTCTGTGGATATCTAATTTTAGCATCTAAAATTGACCTTATTATACAATTCTTGAATTAAATTCTAAGAGCTGAGATAAATCCTCAGAAGTACTGAGGTCCATGGAAGTTTACTTATTTTATTCCATTTGATTATAACTATCAAACTTACAGAAAAGAAATAAATTTCAGCACTGAAATCTTTTCAAGAATAGCATTTAAGTCCTCGAAAAACTAACAACCTCTATTACATGATTACTGCCAACAGAACAATCGTAGCACACAATCAGGTCTTCCAAAGGCGGACCATTTGGTGTTAAAATATATATAAAAAAGGACTAATTTCAAAATTCTATTTAAATATTCAGTCCCCAAAACTGTTTGTAACTTAAGCCACATTGGTGAAATTTTCAGATTTTGAAGTTGGGTATATAGATTTGAAAATATTATTGAAGACCATACAATAGGAAATATTGATGAAATAAACTTACTAATTATAAGAGATGTTACATTTGGTAAACTTGCTGTGAAGCTCAGCCTGCCGAACAAGATTTTTAGAATGTTTTTTCTTTCTGGTTTCATTAACTGTGTCTGTGAGTCCATAATGTCTTAGTATTTAGAAGTCAAATTAAATGCCAAGTTGGACTTCAAAGGCTCTAAAGTTCTCCAAAAGGCATGGGAATCCTTTGGAAGCGACTTAAAAAGGCTCAACTTAAAAAGTTGAGAGGATCCTGCATTGCAAAATGAAATTTTGGATTTCCCCTGCTCAGTACCAGGGAAAGAAATGCCTTAAAAACACCAACGTTTTCAGTAAGTTATGAACTCACTCCTGAAATGTTAAAATCAAACACTCAGAGCTCCACAGAAACCAATCCAACTCAGATGTGGTGAGGGTGAGGGCTGGCAGCTGGTTTATGAGCACGTCATTTTCTTGGCACCCAGAAATGAGATCCCCTCTGTGACCCCTGCCAGTGACCCAGTTCAGTCTACAAGAGGTTGTGAAAACTGACCAGGTTTCCTAACCACTGACATTTCAGACCCACAGTTATGTCAGCTCGTTTTCTTGCTGCATTGCACCACCCCGGTGTGGTGGGCTATCCAAACAAAAACAGCATGCAAGCATTGTTGCAAAACTACACCAAGAGGATGAACAAAGGGCTTAGCAGAGTTCATCCTGGGAACTTTCTGCTCTCCACTCCTAGCCCGCTTCCCATCAGACCCACGGAACAAAATCATTGTTTTGGTTACCTCCTAAGGCCTTTCCCCTGCAGTCACAGGGATGCCGCTAACCACTGTCAGATGTCCTGACATCTGCTGAGAACATAATGACTAACTGTGTCACACTTCTTGGCAATCACTCAGTTTCCTAGGAATGCTAGAAAGCTGCCATAGTTTGAGCAAAATCTGTACCCTGTCAAAGCCCCAGGGACCAAACCCTCCAACTCCAAACAGTAACCAAGTGACTCTGAAGAAAGAGGTCTCCAAGGGATTGGTCGGAACTGAATCATTCTTCTGTCTGGAAACAGTGAAGGAATTCTTCCCCATTATTTTACACCTGGGAGCACTTAACTCACACAGATGATATAAAGTTAGCTTTCCTTCTCAGATTAGAGCAGCAGATGAGAAGGCAAGCAGGAGTATTTGCCCACAGACACACATCTGCCTGTACTTGTTCCATTTGTGGAATATAACTTGACAAAAGTACTTCCTAGTGTAAGGACTCATCCTCTGCTCTTGAACAGTGGGACAAAGTGCTATTACATTTTAGGTGTGAAAGGCATAGGATATGACATTTAGTGAAGATGTCTGTCAGGAAAGTCAGTGAAAATTCCTCAGCAGAAACAGAGGAAGATAACACTTGAATGAATGTTAATGGAGTTTCTCATCCAAGTGAAGTAAAGTTCCAAGCAATCTGAAGCAGTCAGCTCTAGGATTTCACTACTCTTTGTGTAAGACAGCCCTTTTTTTTGGTAATATGCTGCCTGAATATTCTTTATTAAATACTAATTTTTTACTTAATGCATAGACAAAATAATTAAACCCATATATATACACACATGGTAAATCAGTTTCAACTTTCCAATTCACCATCTGTGTCTTGCAATTCAAGGCTTCTGCAGGAGAGAAGGTTGTTTCCTATACTCTCCAGCTTGATTTTGGGCTCTCCAAGTTCAGTTGCTTCCCTGGCTGCTTGAAGCCTTGGTGGTGCAGCAGCTGCCCTGCACTCACTGCATCACTTCTGTAACCCAAACGTCTGCCTACTCTCTTTTTATTGGAAGATTTTGTCTCCTCTTAATTATCTCCATGCTAAATAAACTCCTTTCTTCTCATCTTTTTGTTGGCCTTGCTTTCTAATCCTCTCATAACTCTTATTTGAATGATTCCTATTGGTCAGGATTCCTGGTAAAATGTGCTGCTGTGAGCTCAATATAATCCTCTACCTGACGCATTACTAGTGGCTAATAGAGTGGAATAATTATCCTTTGGTTTTTTCCTTAATCCATCACAAAATCACTTGCCTTTTGACATTGATTTTAATACTAATCACTTTAACATTGAATTAATTTTGTAACACCCTGTAACTTCCATTGACCTTCCAGCAAATAGAACGTTGTTATACAGGTATTTCAACATTAATATTCCATCTTGTATTTATGATTGCATTAATTCTCCTTCTTAAGTATAGCACATTGCATGTGTCATTTTAAAAATTAATTTAAGCTCTCATGTTAGATCTGGTTCTGTTGGATATTTATTACTCATCCAATTTAGACACCTGGTCCAGATACATAAAGAATTCCTGTATAATTATAGGACTGTACTAGCCTAGACCAAGACATTTTGTTATAAATACATTAAATAATGATTAAGCTGATGTTCACTGTCACACAGAAGTAACTTTTTAATGCAATGGCTTCCTTACATTAGCTGCATGAACACTAAACACCCATTGCTCTGTTTAACAGCCACTGCACTCCCCAGTCTGTGTTAAGACCAAAGTGCCCTGAATGAAATGGCTGACAGTGACAATGAGCTCCTTGCAGGTATTTTTTGCCATTCCTTTCTTCCTTCAGTCCTTCAGCCTTCCTGCTTTTTGCATCTGTCAAACAAGATGGGGCCAGGACTGTTCCTATACAGCACAGCCATTCTCACCTTTGTTGTCACTCTCATGGCAACTTTTGCCACTCGAGGGGACACCACTCCTCATTGCAGTGCAGTCATTTCACTGAGAGAGCTTTAATAAGCTGCAGCCATCCCTGATGCAGCCCTGAGCACAGGTGATCCAGGCAAGGCCCTGTTATCACTTCACAGAAAGAAGGGCAGTGCTACAAAAGCAGGAGTGGTGAATGAGGCCTTAATCCTCTTACATCAGTACGAGTGAAAACAATACCTTTCCTCTGGATGTAGGCATAACAAAAGACTCTAATTTGGCTTTCAGACTCTTGTGGATAATCTGCAAGGCTGCTTGATAAAAAAGACTTCCCTTTAATTAGGAAAATGAACTGATTTCTATACTGCACCTGAAGCACAATTAGTATGAAAGGTAAGCGTTATGGAGGAGTTGCTTTTCAGAACAGAGATATGAATTGGGAGAATAAAGATCACAAGTATTTCTGAATTTTTATGTAAAAATACTTTGTTTTAGTTTGCTTAGGTTATGTGTTCTTTACTTTATGAGAATTTCCATGGTTATCCTTAATTATAAAGATATGCTGTCATCTTTCCAGCCTTCCTTGGCAATGTCTCCCTTTGATAAGTGGTATCAATACTAAGCACCTTGTCACTAATGAATAGCTGTTTCTTTTCTCTCAATCTTTGTCAGTTTGACAGCTTCCCACCCACACACTGTTCAGTGCTCTTCCTACCCTGTGTTTCCTACATTTTTTTATAGGCAGGCACATTTATTCTTGGCAAGCTTTCACATATGAATAAAAAGCACATTCAATTTGTGAGTCATTTTCTTCAGGCTTTGGAACATCAGCTACAGTGCTGCCTACCACATAAGGGATGAATGAACAATATGCATAACCTGGTTATTTTTATACTTCATTTTTGTTATTACACTTAGCTATTGATGGAAAAATGACAGCTTTTGTTGGAAGAGAACAAATTAAAAATATTTTTATTACATTCTGCTTGACCCTGCAATCTTGATTATTACTGTAATTAAAATAGACAAAAGCCCACTTCTTAAATTCACAAAGCACTTATACTCCATGTGATCCAAAAGTATGACATTAAAAATAATGGAAGCACAGAATTAATTTTATCCTTTAATACCTGAAATTTATGGAATGCTGGGGTAAAATGCCATTGCTTTATAATCATCTAACTTCAAAAACAAATGTTATCAATGATATTGCAGCCCACAAAATTTCAACACTTAAAGTCTGAGTCCAGAAGTTAAATCTTGAGAAACCACAAATAAAATTTTAATTAACAACAATCTAAATATTTAGTGAAAACAGTACAGCAAAAGCTTTTTTATTGTAAACACTACAACCGAGTCCTCAGTAGTCACAAAAACAGAATCCTAGTTTAATAGCTAAGCCTCACATCTGATGGGTTTTTACTTCAGTATTAAAGCCAGAAGTTCAGAATTGTTTCTCTTGCTAAATCAGTTAGTGGTCACATAATCCTAAGTAACCAGTTGCAAAATAACCAGTGAAAAATAATCCTCAGTAAAATGACTATTTAATTTCCTTGAGATTATTTACTTATTTTCTTTATAAACAAAGGAAATAGAGGAAAAAAATTAAGCCATCAGATTTTTTGTTATGGTGACAAAGTGTGCAAGCTGGTTTGGCCTTCACTACCTACAAGCTTGGCTAAGAATTTATACAGCACTAAGAGTTGTGGGGCAAAGATAAATGTGGCTTTGCCCTCAAACAAAAAGGGCATTTTTGTACTTCAGAGTTTAAAAGAAACAATTTATTCTGCATGAACCAGTCTTTACTACACAGCCATTCTAGTCATACACTTAACCTGGAACAGCACATATATTAAATTGTAGTGACTAATTGTGACACAGGCCTGCCTTAGTATAGCCATGACTATGCACAACTACTATTTCTGTCTCAAAGAACACGGCTGCAAAAGTCTGATAGAGAGAAATAATCTGGATGGAAATAGGACAAAACATAACAAAAAGGTTCCTCTTAGCTGCACTTTCATTTGCGCTTCAAAATCAGACTTGTCAAACAAAAGCATCCACTTCAGAGTCCTCTGCAACTTGGGGAAGTGATCAGAGTTTCAAGTCACTTCCTCAAAGGAAAAAGTAATATTTTAGTGTGGCCCCAGCAGTGTATTTTTCCCTCATCTTTCTCAGAATTGTTTGGGAAGAAGTTGAAATATCCTTCACAATGATAGCCAGTCTAGAATTCTGATAGATCTTAATTTCAGTGAAGTAAACAATGATCTTAGCACGGTGAAAAATCAAGAACATCCCCATTTCTAACAGTCACACTGCTTTTCTAACAAAAATTTTCAGCTAGTGAGTTTTTAGTCATAGAATTGTAGAATATCCAGAGCTGGAAGGAATTAACAAGGATCAAGTCCAATTCCTTTATTTATTCAGTGATATCAAATCACTTGGGCAATACAAAGACCTTCCTTAAGGCCCAGAAAAACTACCAGGACAGTAATTGTATCATCTTTAAAGCCAACTTTGAAAATTAATTGTGACTCAAGAGATCTGTGCATGGAACAGAGCAACATCAATCTACAATGGTATTAATCATATTTTTGCTTTTTCTGTGTGAGGAAATAAAGCCTGAGTAACCCGCTCTATGTTTCCTTGCCTGAACATTGAGCTTTTCCATGCTGCTAGAGCAGAGCTTTAAAGGAATCATCTTGACATCTAACCCAGTGTTTGATTAGGATTAGATGCTGCAAATAGCTTGGTAAACAGAAGCCCCAGCAGAAGGCAATTTTGCTAAAGCTTAATAGATAATTATAAGCATCTCTCTCCTAGTTAGACACCATTTTTAGCAGAGTCCCAATTTCAAACGTTTCCCACAGAAGTTCTCAAGTACAGAATTACACCTGCAGTGCATTTTAACATAGTGGGTGTTGTTGTTTGAGTGTTTGGTTTTTGTTGGTTGAGTTTTAGGTGTTTTCTAGGATCTCTTACCCACAACATGCTCTTCTTTGCTGCCATCCAGCTCAGCAGTTGCGTGCTCGGCGATACAGAAGAGCAGCAGGATAAAGGGTGAAGGTGAGGAACGTCCCTTCTTTCTTCCCTTCATTTCTCCTGTGTAACATAAAAGTGAGAATTGACAAATTCAGTCAGATTCCTTGAGCATTCTGCAAAAGCTAATAGCAGGGCAGTGCACAGCCCTGTGGGCAGACACACAAACTGGGAGCTTTGGAGATAATGTGAGCTCTTTTAGCATAAACTCTTGTCAGCACAATGAAACACAAGACAAGGATTGCAAGTCTCCTGTCCCATCTCCAATCCAGGTTAGAGGCACTGCTACTGTTTTAATCTAAGCCCCAGCTGAAATCACCTCCTGGAACACATCATGACAGAAAATCTAACACTTGGTACTTTTAATGTCCTGATGCTAATTGCGCGATTAGCATTGCTTGCCAAGTCAAATCATTCCAAGTTTTACTCCATCTGCAGAACCTAGATTCATTACCACAACATTTTCAAACAAATGTTTAATCATTTTATAATTAGCAGGCTCCCAAATTACTAAATACCATTTCAGAGGAATCAGTCAACTTTTTGCAGCATAGGCTTCAATGCCTTCAGCAGGATTTTCTATCTTGTACATCTCTTTAATTCTGAGAGCCTCACCTCTGAACTTAAGTTCAGAGCTATTATTTTTCACTTTGAAGCAGTGCAATCACTGACAGAAGAAAAACACTTTTATCCCATGGCAGCTGTCATGCTGAGGTTGCTAAAGACGAGGTTATGCACGCACACATGAAATTAACTTCAGAAAACTTTTGCTTTAACTTTTTTAGAAATACATATTTTCCAACTAACTAAAAGTTCCTTAAGGATCTCTGGATGTTAATTAGAAAATAGACCCCATGTCTTCTTTGTTACCAACAGATCAATTCCCTATTCATAATAGGGAATAGAAGGGAGTTGCCTACCCTCTTCTCTTAAAGTACAGTACTGAATTTCTTTTTGCTATGTTAATTAATATTAAGTAAATAAAACTTAAAATCTAAGGGCTAGGAAGTTTCTAACCTTCAGACACTCTTTGGTCTTGAGTGTTTCTGTTTACATGCCTGTGAAGACAGAGTGGTCTTCACCAAATCAGGGCCACAATTCTCATTTCTCTCTAGAAAACTTGCCAATTTTTCCCTCTTGCATACTCAGTGTTTTCCCAGCTTGCAGCATGTAATAAAAAGGAAATTAATTCTTAAAAATAACTTGGTGAAATCATGAACAGCACTAACTATTTAGGTAATTTTTAATTTGACAATGCCCTTTAGAAGGCTTCAGTATATAATGTAGGGAAAACTACTGAGAGTTCTTCGTTTTTTATCTTTTTTTTTTTTTTTAATAATGGAACAAAAGTTTTGGTTTTAAAGGAATTTCTTTTTTAGCCAGAAAATATGACCATGGTAAATTCCACATCATAATTCATTCCTGCCAAAACAAACAAAAAATTTCATGTCTTTGATTCCTTCTAGACTCAATTATTTAGCCTAACTTCTTCAGGAACAAATAAAAGGCTTTATCCACATACAGTTTGGCAAAACATTTTGCAAACTAATACAGATCCCATTTTGTGCTTTTAATCATGATTTTAAAATCTTTCCTCAAAACTATTTTTTAATTTTGTGAACAAATTCAGAAATTATTGTTTTTCTAGCAGAGATAGAATAACCTCTCCTGGATTAGAAACCAATGCACAAGTTTTGAAATAGTCCCTAAATGGAAAAAATGAGCAAGAGCTAGAGTATTTTTCAAAGAAATAAAATTAGCATTTTTTATCATAATTCTAACTGGAACTCCAGTTTTACAATCCTTTATAGACAAAGTTTTGTAATACCTGACCTTGGAGGAATTATGCATTTTTATCCAAATGTTAAAAAAAAAAAGGTTACAACAAATCTTTTAATTCACCCCTAATAAGAAGTCTAGTCATGCTTTAAAATGGACAGTAACTCTGTACATGGCAACCTGAAGTTGTCCAAGTGTCCAAGATTGTCTTTGTAATTTGAGAGACATCTGATTTGTGATGTTAGTTTGACATCAGCTGAAATTAAAATAAATCCACAACTAATAAAGATGATATGGGGAGAAACATTAAGTAAAACAATTCAAAGAACTGCACAGACAATTATCGTTACAATATAAAAAATTTGGTGATCATTTGACATTGTCTAGGTCACTTAAAGCAAAAATACCATCAAATATTCAGATTGGATACTTAGATATAAAGTAATAACTTTCAAACTGCCTGGTTCCAGTGAGGTCACTGGAATAAAAAGTTACAAAACACATTTATAGTTTTTGAATTACATGGGAAAGAGCAAATTCCTAGCACATTGTTTTTCTTAGAAGTAATCATTGGCCCGATTGTGGCTCTTCATAAAGGAACTTGCTAATTATCCACAGCCTCAGTAACCCATGGATTAATTCCATGTTTGTCCCTGAGCCCTCATTTTCCATGTTTGAGTTTTTCCAAACATGCCATCAAAACTCTCACTAGTTCAGCAAAACTCTATTTGAATCTGAGTTTTTATCACTCAAACTGAAGCCTTGGTTCCTTCTTCCAGGAATCCACGGAGTATAGATTTACACTGCAAAATTTAGTAATCAGTTTTTAGTCAGTTATCCCATATTCTCAAAAGCTTTTCCCCAAGCAGAACACAGGCAATCAGGCAGAAATGGAAATCCTTAATAAGTTCCTATTTTCTTTTCCATTTGGAAATATAATTGTGCGCATCATGAGCTACCATCCAGCATTGTCACTGTGTGTTTATGAGGACAAATGACTGCATTTGTACAGAGAACAAAACCTTTCCCGGGGTACATTATTTCTATTCTTCCACTCAACTCCTACATTTCCCTTAAAAGGAAGGGTCAGAAGTGTGTCAAAAGCTGGGCATGTCCATGCTTGGGCCAGTTCCCAACAGGAACGATGCGGGCTGTGCAGCAGCATATCTGCCTTGCTGCAAAGCCTCCTGAGCAAACACAACCTCCTTTATCTCCCTGCTATCCTTCCCAGCAGGCCACACAGTCCCAGAACATTGGGTCAGGTTTGGGTGGAGGTTGGCTGAAGGTTTTGGTAATAAAATGCTTAAATCCTTCCATAGTCTAATTATTTCTTATTATTCCTGAAGGAAGAATGAAATCCCAGATCAAAGCGTACTTGGCACTGGATTTTCAATTAAAACCCAAACCCTCTAGAAAAAGTCCAGGTTTTCTGACTAGATGTTCAGCTACCCAGTAACAGAACTTTAAAGCTGTAAGCTTCTTATGATACTGGTATAATTTTTTTATATTTTTTAAAGCACTCTGATTTTTTTTTTTTTTTGTTTGTTTTTGTTGTAATTGTATGGAGTGAAAAATTCAAAATACTTAAACTATCATATCTGGCTAGTAAAATGTCAAATGCACACAATGGTGAAAAACTGTGTGTCATGAGAAAAATAGGAAATGTTTCAATTTTAAATAGGTAATGTTTACCTGTCTGATTATTTCAGCCACATTCTGAAAACTTCTGAGAGCAAGTAAAGCCTTTTCCTTCAGAATGAATCTAGCTTAGGACAGCCAGGTGTCAGTCCAGCATTAATATTCTCCATCATGGTGTCATTAATGTATATTTCATACAGACAATTCCTAAGGAACTGGCATTCTACTGCTCCCAAACTCCCCCACCTTTTAATGAGACATTTTATAACAGACAACAAGAATTTTACTTGACAAAGAAGATCAAAGGTCGGTGGATAATAATTGGCACTGATTTATTGACTGATTTAATTAAACGCTTCCATTTGGTGCCATTAGCTTCCCTCAGGCTGAAACACAGGTAGCCAAGGCAGACCACAAGCAATCAAGGAAGCTCCCAGTTACAGCTCTTCACTACCTGGCCTTATAGCCAAGACTTTTTCCTCCTGACACCCAAAACACAAATAGAAGGAAGATCTCAAGATGTTTTTTGCCAAAACCAGAAAAGTATAAAACTGACTATCTTGTTCATGCAGTTTTTAGCCTTTGGAGACAGGACTTTTATTTATTTTTTTTTAACCTAGCAGTCTCTTCAACACCAATTTTTCTAGTTCCCTGAATGTTTAGTCACAAACTTTTTTTTTTTCCAGTGTAGCATTTATCTCTAACACGCTAACTGGAAAAAGAAAAATAAAACTAACATTTCCCATAGTAGCCAAAAAAAGACATCCTTAGAAAAAGACCCAAAGTGACATTGCAATGATGGTAAAAGTGACTCATTCACACTGACAGCCCAGGAAACAGAAACACACACACACAAAAAGGCAGAGGATATAATTAAGTAGAGGAATTAATAGCAGAAGGTAGGATGTGCATGGCCAGAGGTCCATTTTAGCACGGCCTAAAATGAAGGATTAAAAGGCCTAACTAGACAGGATGATAGCACTTCTGATATAAAAGCAGACCCTTTTCAGGTCACTGTAGTTCAGAGGCATTGCCTTTGCCCTCTGATATCCTGCACTGCCTCCTAGGACTTGTGTGACACAGGTCTCATTAGTCTTCCCTGCAGCATTGTGTCCCAGCTGGCAGAGTCAGTGTTCTCTTTAAAATTATTTTATTACATGTGCTGGTCTGGAGCTGTTTTCCCATTCCCTCAGCTGTAAATATGAAGAATGGAGTGAGCAGGAATTCCACCACCTCTGTTCTGATGGTGGTACCTGAGTCAGTGATGAGCTGTCAATTAAACTGACTGCCACCAGAGCCTTGTGCTGGCACAGCAGCTTTCAAAGGTCAGGAGTGCACTGTGAATCATGAGCATGCAAATATTACTGACTGAAAGCAAAAGCTATGGCAATCCCACCTCCCATGCCAAATTATCTCCCTTTTTCTGTGTCCTGCTGTGGCAGCTTTCAGTCTGTGTCAGTCCTGGCACCAGGGACTCCATGTGCTTCCTCCAAGAACTTCAAATTCCTTCTTGTCATGAAAGAGAATTTTGGTTGGGTTACCTACCTTTGACCATTTAGCTTAAATGCTTTGCTGCTGCACTATTCCAGTCTCTGAAATTACCTAGTGAGAACTGGAAAGTGAAGTGAAAACTGGGAACTATGGAGAAAATTTGGAGAAAAAAAATTTGGAAAAAAAAATGTTTTTATTAGCTTTTACGCTAAAAAGTTGTATAACCTGATGTCACTGATTCAGATTTAAATTCCCACCTTCTTTCTGCTTTTATGAAGGTTATAAATGCTGCTTTTCCAGAAGATGTGATAAAATAATTGAAAGTAAAAACCTTGTCATATTTTGAAATGGAAATATAAAATAATAAGTTTATTAATAAACCCAGCACAAGGAGTCCCTTCTTCCTTATATGTCTGTGGACCTCTTGCCTTTTCATTTTCCTTGTTAGCTTCTTTCACTCTTGCTTTAAAACTGCTTTCCATTTTCCCAACTTAGGTCCAGGACCTATTTTTTCCCTTCTGCTGGTCTGTTCACATCTGACACTAGGTACTTCTGCCATCATGTCTCCACTCACCTTCTCTTGTGACACAGCTCCAGACCTTAAACTCCTCGTCCCTTGAGTTCTCCTTCTTGCCTGGCTCAGTCAGGTGTCCCATCCATGGTATCCATGACCCAAGAGCAGGGAACTGGATATAATCAGCTAGGCAGGGCTGTAGTGACAGTAACCCTTGCCTACAGAAGCCTGTAAACAATTTTCCTGACTCCCTGACCAAGCAGTGCAGAGCACCTGATGCAACAGTCAAAGGGAATTATAACTTCTGAAATTAGGACTGATTTATTAAAATAACTGCACTTTTCACAGGACCACTGGGTTTGTCTGCAGCAAATCACGTAACTATCTCATTTTCATTTTGATATAGCTTTCAACAGGGAAAAGAAATCTTTTGCTCCTATCAAAATATTTTTACATGTGGACTAAAGCAATAACTTGCTTACATAATTTCATAAATTTTAATAAAAAAAACAACCCCACTACACTCAGGCCTGAAGTGCTCAGACAGAAACTACCCGTTGGTAGCAAAAATATTGGCCATCTGATCTTATTTTCAAACAGGGAATGCTTTCAGTATCCTAATAAAAACCACACCAGAGCACAGGATCCACTAGCAAAACAAACAAGCAGCAGTATTAGTTACATCTAAGCACTATAAAGTGTCTAACCTGGTTTTTTTTCCTAGCAGTTTGGACTGGAAAAGTCCAGCCCATGTGTTCAAGTCTAAGCTGTCCTTATGGATAAACAGAAGTGAATTTAGATGTCAATTAACTTAGCACAATCTGCTTTTCTAGTGGGAAGAGGAATTTCAGCACTGTATCATGCATAGGTAATCCAGTGGTGTGTAATTTCCCATTTGCACACACTCAGGTGCTGGAAATACCACAGGCAGGCACAGGAGGAAACTGCTGCCACAGTGATGCCTCTTGTGACTGGTTTTGCTCATACCCATTCACCTTTTGTAACCTCACCATCACATCAATCACATTTTCACACATACAGAGGTTCAAAACCCAAATTTCCCTGCTCTGTCAGGCAAGTTGAGCTCACCTGCTCTGGCTTCCCAGCTGGAGACACCACAGACACTTTTCCTGCAGTGGATTTGTGATGGTCACACAGGTTAGAAATGCTGAAACTGCCTTCAGTGGGAATCACCCAGGACTCAGCCTACAGCCACTTCAAACCAACATGAAATAACAATGCCATCGAAAAAAAGGATTGTATTCCCTTCATCTCCCACAGTGCCAGCTCCTCTGGACATAGAGCAAATGCCAACATCCTTCCTTGACCTTCATAAAAACAATACCAACTGAGTGCTTCCTTTACATAAAATCTGTATTTCTAACTTGCTGCAACTACTCTTTTCAATGTAGCTACATTAAAATCAGTTCCCTTGGAATGCTTTGTTTTCTGAAGGAAGGTTCAATTTTCTGAAAGGAAGTTGAACTTTGTTGTGATCCAACTCATACCCTAGAGTAAGCCTAGTTTTAATTCTCACTAAACTGTAAATCTAATCTACCTTATTCAGAGCTTCACTCAGTTATTCATCAGGGAAGGTGGCAGCAATACTAAGGATGGGAAATAAATATCTGTATTAACAGCACAGGAAGTAATTAAGAAACTGAACAGAGTTGTGAGAGAAAATGAAAAGGATCAAAATAAATCTATTTTGCTGTGAAGTAACTACAAGGGGAAAGGAATTATACAATTCTCCATATGGTTTTGCTTCATTCTGTCCCCAGGGGTACTCTGTCCCCATTGTAAAGTTAAATTGGTTTCATAAGACAAACACACAGAAGTGAGTAATTTGTCCCTGTTTTTAAAGACAGTTTTTGTCTGGTTTCAGTGTGAAGAACAACTGCAGATAGGTAAGAGCCCATCAGCCTCTCCTGACTCTCCAGAGAGAAAATATGACTCTTCAGAATGCAGCCCAAACAAACAACACCAGTAACTAATGGAATTTGACAGATTTTAAACACTTTGCTCCACAATTGAGATATGACAGTCATGTAAACCTCTATGCTATTGAGTTCTACTGATATTCTTTTTTTTTAATTTAAAAATTTATTTTCTTTTCCCTATACAAATGTTTTGAGTCCTTCTGGCAGACATTCTCAGAATTAACTGAATGACAACAAAATCATGAAAGTAAAAAAGCACTTAAAGCAGATATCACCTTATCTTACAATGCAGACTAAAATTACTGCCAGAATCACCTTTTTAAAGTAAATGTAGATATTAAAGTAACTTTCCAGAATGTGAAAGATTGTGGAACGGTATTTTTTTTCCCCAGAGGAGATTTTTTTTTTTTTTTCAGAAACAATCCTAATCCCACTGATATATCAGTGGGAAAAGTCTGTGTTCTGTGCCCTAAAAGTGATCCAAGGTGCACAGAATCAGAATAGCATGAAAAATACCAGTGCTCCTGTGCTGGTGAACACCTGGGTACCAGGGTCTGCTTCTGTTCATGCACTTGGAAGAGTTATTTGAGAAACAGAGAGTCCTTGCAGGTAGAACTGGAGCTGAGTAATTCTCCTTGTCTAACTGTGGATCTGGACATATTCTGAGTCTACCAGGATGCTCCTTCTTTTACACCCTTGCTTTGTTTCTGAGATCACTTTTCCTCCTATTTATTGAAATTTCCTCTTCCCAGAAAACTGCCTCCTTTTTGAGTGCTGTCCCTCACTTCCCTTTAGATCTAAAATAGACACCAAAGAGTCAAAGTTTTACCATTGGGCTTTCAAAATTGCTCTCCAATGAGATTAGGAATAAATAGAAATTTAATGGCATTGAGTTTATCTGTCTTGGGTTAGAAACATAAAAGTCTAATTCAGCACTTAAAATATTACTAAATTAATAACAATTAAGTTTTCATGAGCAACATTAGTGGGCACTGCACTAAAAAGTTAACGCTCCTTAAACGTCACATAGCTACACCAGAGAGCTGAAATGCTTTAAAACTCAAAAATTACAAACTTGGCAATGCACAATGTGAGGACAAACACACAGATTACTGAAAGGCAATTTAAAGGGCACTCTGTGACTCTCTGGCATAAAAGTCATAAAATTTTCAAATAAATGGATTCATCAAGCAATTGGCCACATGACTGCTTTTTAATGAACTATTTCCCTTGGGCATTATCTGACAGGAGAAAAGGCCAGAGCAGGATGTGCTTTAATCACCTTTACCTCCTCAGCTGTGTTCTGTGTACACTACACCCAAAGTAAACTTGATTATAATTCTCAAATTCAGCTTAAAGAATAATTCAGAGGAATCTGCTGTGCATACAGGTACTTGCTGCCTACACAGACAGTAATAAATGTCTCTTAGGGAAATTAAATAATGGGCAGAAGGTTCCAAAGGGCAAAGGCTGACAGCTTTGCCCAAGTAGGTGCCTGGCAATTCCTCCAGCACGCCCTTGCTGTCCCTATCTGCACTGACAGCTGCACTTCCTGTCTCTGCCCATAAGACACAGGAAGGAAGGTTTATATCTTTACATGTTTCCCATGACACTTTCATGGCTAATTCCTGGAGCACTGAGTCAGACTGACCATCCACACACTCCTCCCCCAATCCAAATTGCTGTTTTACTCCCTACCTCTAATTTCCCATTGTTATGGACTTTTTCCTCATTAAAATTGCAATTTTCTTAACATATTAGCCAATTCTAGAAATATTTTAAAATACAGGCTAGTATTACTTCTCTGTTTTGCACAGTTACTAAAAATGAAGTTTGCATCAATTATTCTAAGTAAAATATTACAAAAGTCTCCAAAAATATTCTGGTTTTTTGGAGTGCAGTGTGTTTGTTACACTGATACAACTGGATGCCTCATTCACTAGTTTCTTGTAAATTTCAAATATACTGTGAGTGAAATTGGCTTCTGTCTTAACAGCTTAATTTGATTCTCCTAAAATCTTCCTGTACTTCTCAAAATATGAATTGCTTCAGAAGTTGGGTGCCTCAGACTGATTTGAAACAGCCTGGCAGACCACTCTGCTTGAATCGAGCCTCTCTTACATGCACCGTAAAAAAGCAAAAACTTTTCTTCAAACTCAAGCTATTGATCAGAATTAGCTTGTTCAGATTTAGGATAGCTTCCTTTCCAAGAACCGACTTAGAGTTTAAAATACCTGAGACTGAGATTATGGCAACCAAATGTTAGTTGTATTAACCATGCAAGTATATTCATTATCCTGCTGTTTCAAATCTGCAGAGGAAAAGAAGTCTCTCCCTTTTTGCAGCACTCTTTGCTGGACTTTGACTCTAAACATCTGACGACTGCATCTAAAGAAAAGCCACTAGCTGAGAGTGCTTTCGACAGCTAGAGGAAGAATAATAATTACTCCGTTAAAACCGAAAGTCTGTTGCAAAGTACTCACCCAACTCCTAGCAACAGCTCTTGAAGAAAGAGGGAATTCCTGAATCAGAGCTGAGTGTGATCCTCCCCTAGCGATCCACGTTGGAGGGGTGTGGTGTGGAGCTGCACAGGCAGGGCTGCGAGCTGATATCTGCCCGCTGCGGGCTCCTGCCTGCCGGGGGATGGATCGCTCAGCTGCTGCTGCTCGGTTTGGAGCCGCAGCCCCGACACGGGCTGGCTCCGGGCAGCGGGCAGAGATCCCCGGTAGGAGCGGCGGGAATGCTTCCCCTTGGGAGCTCCATCTGCCCGGGGCTGGGAGCAGCCGCTTGCCGAACAGCACGGGATGAAATGAAGCGCACCTTGACACAGGGAGGGACTGTGAGACGATTCAGTCGCTGTCCCTGGCAGGCTCTGACACGGCCCGTGAGGATGCCCTGTTATTCCCTGCGAGTTTAAGGGAGGCAGCGTGATGGACTGCAGCATTTTATCCTTTTTAAACGAAGCCACGCTGCTCACCCGGCTGTCTGGAGCTGTTCACAACAGCTATTCTGCCTGCAGCTACAACATCCCATCTATTTAAACATCACACCAGTACGTGCTAAAACTCGAGTTTTAGGTCATTAAGAGTACCATGGCTGATGATAGGGATGGGGACCCTCAGGGACCTTCTAAGTTGTGCATATAGAGACACACATCCAGAATCTCAGTCTTGGACACACAGGATGGGAACTTCCCAGGTAAGGAATTAAACAGTAAGAGACATAGATAGCAGCTGAAGCACAATAACCTGCACAGTCAGTAGCTGTAA